CCTCTGTTCTAGTTTTTAGAAGCGGGGGTGATCCAAATCACCATTCACCAGTCATGACAATCAAAGATTCCACTTAATTGGTTTACAACACTGCCATTATCTTACTTCTGGAAGGGTTTCCACTGATATCTAATACCTTATATCTGTAGCTATCTATCTATCTATATGCATATATGATAGTACATGGTAATTGTTCCATACTATAAAGTGTATTCCATATGATACAGGAAGTACTCAAAACTTTAATGTAGGCTGTCAATTTGTCCAAAGTACTGTAAGAAAATTGGATCAATGTGTTCCCTTGGAACTTCAAATACTACTGATGTGGCCCTCCCTGGTAGCGTAGCTGGTTGAGGCACAGCACTGAGAAGCTTAGGCCACTTCCGCATGAGTTCAATCCCCACCTGCCCCAGAGGAGATCCACATGGTGTGGCAGACCTCTTCTGGTCTGCCCGCTGCTCCCCTCAGCAGTGTACTTCGTTATTTCGTCGATCTGCCTGTTCTGCTCCACACTGTCTCTGGTGAATCCTCTCACCCACCACATCTCTGGCCTCTACCCCAGTTCTGTATGAAAAAAAAAAAAAAAAACTGATGTTAAGACTCAACACAATGCTTTTCTAACCTGGATGAACCTGTCATGGCTTCAGGAGTAATCTACAGCAAATCTTCTTTAGGGATTTAATAAACACTGCATTCTCATTGCGAAGCAATTTCTTTAACTTTTAAGCCCGCTAAGACATTTAAAATATTTAAAAATATTACATTTACCTACCCAGGAATCTACATCTTATATAAAATGTAGTAATTCTGTGACTCTCCCCTTTCTTACCATTTGGACCCACCAACCCCTTCATCTCTAAGGCCTGTAGATGTTGAGTATGTCACACTGATTTTGCTCTTTGTTGGAACAACATTAACAACAACATTAACCCTCACAATCACAGTTTTTCAAACTGGTAAGATTTGATAGTTTAAGAACACATTTTTTAGGGTTGATTTGTTCTCTAATGTTCACAATGTTGACTATGCATTTGAGAAATGAAAAGTCAAGATCAAAATGTTTTGAAGGCAAATTACTTGCTAAAGTAACACTATTTTGTAGCCCTAAGTTATAGCCCAAGAATGAATTAATTGTATCTCAGTACATTTCAAAGAACTAGGCTGGATTTCTCTCCTCTGCCTCCAACAATAAAAAGTAGACACTGTTTTATTGTAGATTGTAACATGCTCTCAAATATGAGATTAGGACTTAACCTATCAAAAGAACTTCCTGTAATAATGAAATTATCCTGTATCTGTACTATCCAAAATTGTAGCCATTTGCCTTCACCAGTGCTACTGAGCTCAAGAAAATGAGACTAATAAAACTGGGTAACCCAATTTTTTATTTCATTTAAATGTAAATAACCCCATATCACAAGTTCTTACTATATGGTAATGCACAAAACTATACAGTGTTACATTTTCTTGATGTGATAACTTCCAGTAAAGACAAAACTCTGGAAACACAAGCTTAATGCATATGTATTTCATCATCTGCATAGGAAGGGGGGACTTTATAAAAGCATATGTATGTGAAGACATGTATCACATATTTAGTACATATAAGAAGATCTTGGTTGCCTCTGGGAAAAGAAAGTAGGCAGCTAGGAGTCAAGAATTGGGAGAATGTCTCCTACACATCATTTTGAACACAATTATTGATCATGTGCATGTTTTATCTATTCAAACACACTTTTAAAAATATTTTTTTAAATTTTGATTAATGTTAACTTTGTGGTTATTAAATTTCTTTGCTAGATAGTACAGGTCAATAACTGACACTTGAACCAAGTATTATCTTCTGGGTATGTCTCTAAGGTAACATGGAGGAAGGAATAATGCTTAAAGTTAAATCTCAGAGGTAGCAGATGATTCTTGGACTTCACAATGTCATGCAACTCCAACCCATCCCTTCCTCCATCCCAAGCAGTTTAACCAAGATCCAGTTAGCTCTTCTAACAGAATGTTAACCAATTACTTCAAAATAAAAACGAGCATTTCTACTTTCCACATATTATTACTTTCATGGACTTTCTAGTAGAGTGACTTGTAGAGAACCAAGTTATGTGAATTCAAATCCTTTACTAGGGGAGTGACCTCAAACACATAAAGTATCTACTGTATCTTAATTACTTAACTGGCCAAAAAAGAATAATAATCTCTACTTCATTCACTTTTTTAGGATTAAATGGATTGATACTAGAAAAATGACAAATGGCTAACAAAGTGCTCAAATTATCCTGTTGCTGGCCGTTAATAAGGATGTTTTTCCTTTTAAGTCTATTTTAAAACTTCTACAAACCTTAAAAAAAGAGACATAATTCTACATTTTGCTCTGTAGATTCTAAACTATTTCTATTTTTTTTAATGTTTTGATTTTGTGAAAGGAACACTCTCAAAATATCAAATACTTTAAATAATTTTTTTTTAAAAAGAAAGTTCCAAATATATTTGGAACTCCTATAGAATTCAACTTGAGTCCACTACAGACTATAACTTTTGTTGTTATATTGTGTTTTTCTTTCTAAATAAACAGATGTATCATCAAAGAAATTACTTGTTGTTTTTGTGGTCTACCTTTGTCAAAATGTAATTATAATATGTACTAAAGGACATAATATTTTGGATTTGTGCTTTACCAGGCACATTATCCTAATGATATACTAATAATACTTCTCTTTTTTAATGAAAAATGATTATAATTGTTAATATATTTTCATTTTATAAAGTCATAAAATATAACAAGCAAACTCAATTAACATGTTGTTAAAAAATACAGGTAACATTTTCAAGGTAAAACATATATAAGATTACACTGTTTTGATCATAGCATATGAAGTAAAGCAGGATTTATTTTTAACATTTATTTATTAAAAAGGGAAAAATCCCAAACTAGTAAATGAACTGTTCTTACTTACAGGTGGCACATATTAAAGAAAAAACTATCCTGAGATACCTGGGCCATCTTATTATAACAGCAAAAGCAGATAGCTGTAATACAACATAACAGGAACAAAATTTTTCTTTTTCCATAAAGCCAAGTCTAAGGATGCTAGTAAATTTAAATAAAAATATAAAGGCTGCTAGACCAATCTTCTATATAAATACCTTCCAAAGTCCCATCTCAGAAACAGGGAAGTGGGATTTAGGGGAAATAATCTTTGAATCAAAATCTTAACTCCAATTCTTTGCTTCACTGATTTATGAAACTACAGCAAAGGGGAGGTAGGGGTTGGGATGTGGGGAGGTGGAGCAGTAAGCACATTTAAAAGACATGCCGAAGCCTGACAAATGCAAAATACTAAAGAGAACACGGATACATACCAAATTCCTTTGTAGTTTTCTGTAGTTACAACACTCTTACTCAAGTTTTCAGATTTCAAACTTAAGGCATTTTCTTGAGATGTATAATTTTGGCAAAAAGTACCCAAATTTGGGAGATAGTTAAGGTAATAAATATATCTCAAGTTAAAATTTATTATTTTTACCTTGGGTTATTTTGTGTGTGTGTGTATAAGTGTATAAGAAATGGAGGTTATATGTAGAAATTAACTGTGCTTATGAAAAACTGGAACATTTCCAATCTAACTCTGTTTCTTCAATGTATGCTCAGAAATCTTCCTCTTTAGAACTAGATACAATTGATTGCCAGCAAGAGCCATTTAAAAATAGGTTTTTTTCCTCATCCTCCCACTGCCATGGTCTAAAAAATGTGCCACTTAAAATAGTTTGGAGCCTGCTACTTAAAAAGTTGATAAAAGATTAATTTTCAGTCAAAAATGAAAACAAGTTACCTTACCTTTGATAGTTGCTTAGCTTACAATAAACATCCTGGGATCTCTGCCCTCTTCTTTGACCTAAATTTTTTTCACAATTACTCTACTACAGAAGCTGTTTACCAAGGAAGTATATACTTAAGCTTTCAAATTCTATATATCAGGTTAAGACCACCTTAAGGGGGCAGGGGGTGAGGGAGGAGGAATCCAAGAATTCTATTCTTATTTTTAAAGAGACTCAATTTTCCCAGTTTTAAAAATCACCTTTAACTCAAAAAAATTCAAAAATAAAAAGGATATCACACATTTCCTGGTCCCACAGAAATACTCAAATTCATAGGTACTTCTTTATATCAAATTTTGCTTAAAGTAAAATATCAGTGCAGAACAGAACCGGAAAGAACAGATAAAAATATAAGCCTCCGGCCCTCCCTGGTGGCGCAGCACATTAAAGCACAGCACTGAGAAGCTAAAGCCACTTCTGCATGAGTTCGATTCCCGCCTGCCCTGGAGGTGACCACATGGCATGGCAGACCTCTCCTGACCCACCCGCTGCTCCCCTCAGCATTGTACTTCGTCGATCTACCTGTTCTGCTCCCCACTCTGTCTCTGGTGAAACCTCTCACCGCCCCTGAGTCTCTGGCCTGTACCCCAGCTCTGTATGCACAAATAAATAAATCTTAAAAAAAAAAATACATAAGCTTTCAATTACTATTCAGAAGTAGGTTAAGACCTAACTCAAAATCAGACTAGAAACTTAAATATCAAGAATGGGCCTCTTTTTAGGGAATCCTAAAAAAAAATCTACCATTAGGAATAACTTCACATCAACAGATTTTTTTTAAATGAGTTAATTATTCTTGTCTACCTATGTGAAATTTTTCAGAGTAATTTCACTAGGAGGAAATTGCATATAATTTAGTAACTTTCCATAAGGCAATGACATGGAATAACAAATGGCAGGTGGGAAAAGGGGAAACAAGAGGAGCATAGGAAACAGAATGAACTATAACAGATTTTCAGAGTGGTTTTTTTTTTTTTTCTAAAGTCAGGTTGAAGAATTTGAAACTATGAGAACAAAGAATCAAGAGCATATATAAAACAATTTTATATACATTAGATAAAGCTGGAATGTTTCAACCATTTCAATTAAAATATACAGATTGAAAAATTCTCTGTAGTAAAAAAATAATGCACACCAATGTAAATTTTCATAATTTTCCAATAAATGACATTTCTAGATCAAAAATTACCATTACAAATTCTTTAATCAAATGTTTATTTTTGTTTCCAGCATTACAATTTCCTGTAATCCATAAACTTCAATCTAAGTAAGACACTGACCTCATACAGGTAGTTATGTCCTTATGTCAAGCACTCACTTATCCAGTAAAGAGATCACCCAGCCACTACTCTTGTGTGGACAATGCTCACCGCTACCTGACAATTTAAAGTGCATTATAAGTTGTTTTGATAAATGGAGACACAGCTGTGGTTTTCACTAAGTTTTTCAGTCACTGGATTGACAGTTTCAACTTGATAGCTTATGATCATTACAAAGCTACTTACACAATTTTATAACCACATATTATGCTAAATGCCCACTTACAACTGCAAGAAACTCATATTACAAACACACCTTTGACTATGGTTTATACAAAATCATGGCCACAAGTTTCCATTTAAGAGATTTACTTCTCTTTCTCTTAAAGCAAGAAATATTCCACAGTTCAGATTTACATAAGTAGTGCCTTTTTAAAAATAAATTAAAAATAAAATGCTGTCCTGTAAGTAAAATTATAAATATTTCTAGTCCATTTTACAGAATGTTTAAATGCTTGTTTAAATGCACTATCTCCAAGTAAATATACACTGTGGCAGTAAAGCCAGTTAAAAAACAAAAAAAAACAGTCATCACACTGGTCCATGGAGAACATCAAGGGTTATTTTATATCTCCAACCATTAGAAAAGTTAAGCATAACAAAGGGAAAAGGCAAAGAAAAGGTAGGAAACCTTACAAAATGATAACTACTATGACCTAAAAGTATAAGGAAATGTCTTCCTTCAATTCAATAACTAAGCCATTTCTGGAATGAACATTGATGGATAACTATGTTAGAAGAGTCTTCCTATTAGTGCTCAGGGCAAAATAACAAGTTATGCAGAAATAACTTCTATATTTAATAAAGAAAGACAAACTTGATATAGCTAGAATATTCAAGATTGGCAGGGTTTGATGGAGTGAAGTCTTAAGTAGCTACAAAATTAAAAATCATAATCCTATCTATGGCTGCTGATTATTTTTACCAAGAAAAGAACATGATTGCAAGGACCCCAATACTTCTTGACAGGCTAAAATGAGAAATTATGAAAAATTTAAGTAAATGTCTCCTACTAAAACAAAAAGAGAAAAACCATGATTTTAAAATTAATTCAACTCATACTATCTCATGGAAATATGCAGTCATTTTAATTCTGTGGACTTTTGAAATGCCCTTTACATAAAGTATTTCTTCATCCTAAGAAAATGGCTTCTGAATGGCAATGACTCCTTCAGGGTGCAAGAGCAGGCTTGACAAGCTTGTTTCCAAGATTCCCTCCAAGATGATTCATTCCATCACATCTATAATATCTCCAAATCTACATGTCGAACTTCAGGGTTTCGTTTCTGAAAGGAAAAATCACCACCACATTATTCATAATAAAACAAAATCTTCCTTTTATTTTCTGATTACTAAAGACACTGAAACCACCTGAGTAAACTAGTTCACTGTAGCATACTGGCATATTTGTGTAAGGAAAAAATCAGATGAACCAATGAACAGACTAAGTATACACCAACGAACATTACAAAGTACTGGTACTTAGGGGCCTCCCTGGTGGCATAAGTCTCAGCACCACGAAAACTGTCAGCAGCCACTGCAGCACTAGGTTCAATCCCTAGCCAAGGAAGGTGACCTACATGGCTCAGAAGACCTCTCCTGTTTTGCCTGCTGCTCCCCTCAGCAGTGTGTTTCAGTCAATCTGCCTGTTCTGCTCCCTACTCTGGTGAATCCCCCACACCTCTAGCCTGTACCCCAACTTTTGTATGCATAAATAAATCTCTTTTGAAAAAAAAAAAAAACGTACTGGTACTCGACCCTGGTTTGTGATGAAAAGAAAATAACCTTATTTTTAAATATTTATGTATTTATTTATTTATGCATACAAGAAGTAGGGGGTTGGGGGGAGGTGACAGAATTCACCAGGGGTAGAGTGGGGAGAAGGTTGATCTACTGAAATACACTGCTGAGGGGAGCAGTAGGTTACAAGAGAGGTCTGCTGCTCCATGTGGGTTATCTCCCTGTCTGGGGATAGAACTCATGCCTCATGGGCTGACGATAGCTTGATAGTGCTATACTTTAATCCCTGTGCTACCAAGGAGGCCCACTTTAAAGCAATAATCAAAATAAGTAAATTGGTATTTACTTTTCTATTTTAGTAACAATACACATAGTCTTGGATCAGGTGCTGGCCTAGAAAGTGTAGGTATGATTATTAAATAAGAATCTTTCCCTGACCCTGAAGAGCTCAGTTTAGCAAGGAAGACAAGTATAGTAATAACAACCTATGAATAAAAGCGTGGCTAATAAGAGGTTAATATTTAATACTTTTGTGGCAAGTACTGTTCTTAGGGGCTTCAAATACATGTGTGTGATTTAAAATGCTCATAATAATCCAAATATTTATTTTATATATGGAAAAACTGAATTTTGAAAAATTAAATAACCTGTCCAAAATTATATAGCTAGTTAAGTGATGAAGCCAAGAGAGATTCAGCCCTGACTTCATACTCTAAGTTCCTAACTATTACATTATACTAAATAACTCTGTTAGAAGAAGTGTGAGATTTATTATATTACTTTGAGATCCAGAAGGACTTCCCTGAGGATATAATATCTAAGTGAGGTTTGAATGCAGTGAGTTTTCCAGATAAATGATAAAGAAGATCTAGGCAGAAGAAACATCATAAGCATAGTCAAAGAGTCTAGAGAGTAGGCTTTGCTATGTGCTAACAGAATGGTACAGTTTGCAGAGAAGCTGCAAAAAGGGCAGTTAGTAATGAGGCTGGAAAGGCAAGCTGAGGTCAGGTTGTGAAAAATCTTAAATGCCTCTGTAAGGAATTTCAAAACAATAAAAAAAATTACATATCTGCTTTATGTCACGAACTGAAATATAAAGCAATGAACAGGAAACAAACAATATGTCTCTTCAACAAATTTACAGCTGCTGGTGAAAATAAGTAGTCAGGTGACCATAACAGTTTACTACTAAAAAACAAATTAAACAGTTTTGGGGTTTTTTCTTGCCCTCTGGGAACATAAAGGAAGTTTACCAAGTTCAATTTTGGGAAAATGGAAAGTATAATAAAATATAACATAATGATATTGTAAAAATGGAGGACAGAAGAGAATGTAAATAAGACAATTAAGTCTATACCTATCAAAGAGAAAACAAGTGATGTTAAGTTAGAGCAGTTTGAGGTTTATATGTAAAATATATCAGTAAATATTTAAAGACCTACTGAAAGTATTAAAAATGGTTATTCTCAGAAGCAGTTTTAAAAATTCAGAAGGGTGAAGCAGGTGACACTTCTAAGCTCTCCAGTTCTGTTTGACTTTATAAACTTTGAATAAAAATAGATAAATCAGGAGGGTAAAACAGCTCCTCTGATTTTGATAATCATCGAGGATCAGTAAATCCACCATTTAGAAAATACCCTAGAAGTGTAGGTATATTACTCATGTCAAACTCAGTCGTAAAAAAATCCTGCTAAGAAATTGGAGTTTAGCTCCCGCTATTCTACTGAATGTACACTGAGATTTTTCTAATTAGTGGTGTTACTTTCCCCCTAGATCCTAATGTAAGAGTGACCAAAAATCACAGGAAGCATACTTCTGTTTTCAATATTTTATGTGAAATTATTCTCTATGTCTATAATTCCCTGAATTTCGTAACAAAAAATACTTCCTCAAATAGAAATGAGGCTGAATTCCCCCCCTACAATAAACCCTGATTCATCCCATTATGATTTATAAATTTTTACCAGTAAAGACTGAAGTTATTCTAACTATCTAAAAAGCACTATTTATTAGTATACTATGTGTACTAATAAGTTTTTTCGAGAAGGCAACAAAAATTAATTTATTCTACTTTTTTAAAATCCAATTTTCAGAGAAAATTAATCAAATTCCTAAAAAGCAACCTACCCAATGTAAAGCAGACAAATATGATTGCTGAACAAATGACTAAAAGAACAGTATTAATATCTTTGTATATATGGACCTAACAAGGTATCATGTGCATAGCAGACTCAGAATATTTGTTAAAAATAATTGAAAATCAGTAACTATTGTCCAACTTAGAATTTTTATTCATGAATTCAACAACTATGTATTGATCTATTATGTCCTGGGCACTAATCAATGGAAATTAGAACATTTTACACACCATTGACAGATCCTATTCCAACACTCACATTATGGAAAGATAGAATCAAACTATGTAATTTATTATGTAATGCAGTGTACTCAAGTTAAGAAAATACTACAGGAAGGTGCAATTAGGGAAGCAAAAGACAGAGTAAGAGAGCAAACTATTTAACAAGAACATTATTTATTATAAGTTTGCAAATGATATGTCATCTTCCCACTTAATAACGGCCCCCTACCCCCGGAAGCACAAAGGATTAATTATCCTCTCAGATTAAATTTTCATAATCATTGAATTAGCTTGGGAAACCATACAGTGATAAAACTGTTAGTGGAGTTTGATCCCCAGCTCTGGAAGTGATCCACATGATGCAGCAGACCTCTCCTGCCTTGCCTGCTGCTCCCCTCACTAGTGTACTTCGTCTATCTGCCTGTTCTGCTCCCCACTCTGTCTCTGGTGAATCCTCTCACCATCCCTGCAGCCCAGCTCTGTATGCATAAATAAACAAATCTTAAAAAAATATATTCTGGGCTTTCCCTGGTGGCGCACAGATTAAAGCACCGCAGGAAGCTCTCTGAAGCCACTGCAGCAGAGTTCTAGCCCCCACCAGGGAGCTGCCCACAGGGCAGGCAGACCTCTCCTGACCCGCCCGCTGCTCCCCTCAGCAGTGTACTTTGTCATTTTGCCTGTTCAGCTCCCCACTCTATCTCTGGTGAATCTTCACATCCACCACACCTCTAAGTTCTCTAAACAAAATAAATCTTCAAAAAAATTTTTTTTCTATGACACTATGGAAAGAATGTGTAAAATCCTTCTGTTTTATAGTGAAGTTTAATGTTGTCAAAGGGAAAAGCACTTCTGTGACAGCGTGAGTTATGAGCTAAATCAGGTGCTTTATCAGAATACCATTTTCACTTGAAAGAATAAAACTGGGTATTCATTTGTGGGCATTCGGCAGGCAGCTTCTTTAAAAAATGAACAAGTGATTCTGTTACTTCAAGGAAAGTAACTAACAGTATTTATTGCTTATGATAAAATGCAAAAATTCAAGTGAAAATTAGCATGTTGAAAAATTCATGCCACTAAGTTTTACATCTTCCCAATACTGAGTCTTACAGCTTCCCAATACTTAGAAATGTATCAACATTTAAAAGATGTGCAAAAATTCAATGTTTTCCAAATGCCAATTTATAATGTTACAGAATATGCACTAGTAAAAGATCCATTTACAGCACAAACACTAACAAGTTTAATATAATCAAAGAGGGATCTAACCTTTATCCTCAGCTATACAGAAGGCTACCTCTAAGTTCTATAAATGTTCTGCCTGATAGTTATGTCCTTATTTATCCTTGGCCACACAGTTACCTGCTTTAACTCAGAAGTGGCTGCTCCACCTCCAGAAGGAAGGTGTCAGTTCTCTTTAGGGCAGCTTGAGACTGAAATGTTAGTTGCTCAGGTAATCAACTATGGAATCCCAAGGAAAATCTTTGGACACTCTAAGTTCCCTGTTGGCAATAGTCCATACAACAGTTACCCCTCATTGTCAGGAAAATAGCACTGCTCCTTATACAACGGGGAGAGGACAACAGAGCCTCCAAGTTTGGATCTCTGCCTTATGTGCCTCTTCCCTTGGCTGGTTTGAGTAAGTATAGCAATAAGCCATCACTTTGACTACCAACATCATTCAGAAAAATCTGTGAGTCCTAGTGAATTATCAAACCTGAATGTGTACTTAACAATTTCTTAAAATTGCAATTAGTGTTAGAAATGAGGACAGTCTCATATATTGTACCCTATGACTTCATAAACAGTATACTGAAAGCTCAGAGATGGTTTCAGATTCTATACTGCAACTAAGCCTTAAGAGTCTACCAGTTGTCAGGTTTTGGTGTACTATTGAAAGAGAATATCCTAACTATCTGAAAAGCAGTATGAGTACTTAAAAAGATTTCCTCCCTTTTCTTCATATTCTTCAACCAAACCAAAATATGGCAACAAAATGAATACAGATGTGAGAAATCAGCTAGTTTAAATTGCTGCAAAAATATGAAACAGTACCACTTCTTTTTTTTATTTTGGAAAAAGTTATTTGTTAAAATGTTATTTAAATGAATATGTAACATGTTTATTATGTTTTTTTAAATGACTCTTTAAATTTCTCAGTCTTAACTTATAATTTGGTAAATATCAATAAATATAACTCAAAAAATAAAATATACTTGGGTCCTCAATATAAAATATAGAGTACTAAGATCAAAATATCTGAGAATTGCTCATCTAGAAAATGAAAATATCATGGCTGATAAACCTCATAAAGTATCATATTAACATCAATAAAATCATCTTATCTGAAATGTTTTTATTAATCTAATACAATATCTAGATTTTAAAAGATAGTAAAAGTAGTGATATTATTTCCTTCAAATTGTTTCTTTTAATTTTTAAACAAACTGACGAACAGTCAACATCAGCTGAAGAAAATACATAAGCTATTTATATTAAAGATCATTTACAAACTTTACTCAATAAATCAATGAAATAACTGGTAGGTTGTCATGATTTCCAACTGAACAGAAACAAAAACATACAAAATAATGTGAGGTGAACTAACATACACATGTATGTTTATGATAATATTCCCTTTTTCTTAACTTGTGACCTTTTATTTTCCTCTAAAATCTTTTGAAATGCTTTTTAAAATCCCAATTCTGGACCTCACTGTGGCCTAGGAGTTAAGTGTCAGTGCTACCATTTCAAAGGCCCACCCCTATGGCCTGAGATCAAATCCCAGCAAGGGAGCTGGCCCACATGGCACAGCAGACCTCTGCTGTTTCATCTGCTGCATCCCTTAGCAATATATTTATATCTATATAAGTAGATCTGCTGTTTTGCTCTGCACATTGTCTCTGGTGGCTTTTATCCCCCACCACCCTCCCTGCACCTCTGGCCTACACCCCAGTTTTTCTACACAGAAACAAATAAAATTTAAAAGAAAAAAAACCAAACCAATTCCCCAACTTCCTTTTGTAAATTATCCAATTTCTCTAGCCAATAATGACCAGTACTTCATGGGCTTACTAAGAACATTGTGTGTGTGTATGCATGCATGGATGTGTACACACACATGTCTGACACAGAGGAAGTAATCAAAAAAAAAATAGTTGAAATTATTATTAAAAACTTCATCTTACTTTCAGCTCTTTCTCAAGTCTATCTACTTCAGCTCCTAGAGTATCAATAATATTCTCTCCATGTTTAAGCATAAAGGTCTCTAGTTCTTCTGGAGTTTTCACTTCTTGGATTTCCTACAAAGAAAATAAAGACAGAAAAACAAATAAGTATTTTTTAAAATCATGTTGGTACGTTGATGATTTCTTTAAAAAAAAAAAGCTTACTGTAACAAATAACATAAAGGTTATTGAAAATTTTAAAACTTTTAAGTCACAGGCAATAGGCATCTATTCCCCCCCCCCAAAAAAAACCCACAAATTTTTCAAGAAAAAATAAGAAATCAACGCTTACACAGAAGTAGCATCACAAAATTAGTGGGAAAAGAATGGATTATTCAGTAAATAATGCCAGAGCTATTTTTTTTTAAAAAAGAATAAAATATTAAATCCTTGTGTCAGATATTTAAACAACTTAAGTAGATTAAAAATAAAAAAACAAACTTTTAAAAGAGAAAATATTTTTATGATAATGAATAAGAATTTCTCAAGCAAGATAATAAAAAGCATAGAAAACTACAAATTTGACATTAATTCACAATTATATTTAATCTTCTGTACAAAAAAGTAAAATGGAAATCACAAGCTAGAAAAAGATATTTACTGAGGAAAGATTAGCAACCAGCATATTTAGGAAAAGATCTTCACAAATCTGCCAAAACAATACAAATTAACTTAAATAAGTAAATAAATAAATAGAAATTCCAATGGTGAATAAATTTCAATGCTTATCAATCTTACTACTACCAGGAAATTAAAAATTTAAAAGTAGTAGGATACTAGTTATACTTATCACAATGATAAAAATTTCAAAACTGTCAATAAAATCTAGTAAGAATGTGAAGAAATAGATGGTGGAAGCAAAATTAACACACCTTAGTAATAATTTCCCAGTATATTTAGAGAAGTTGAAGATATATTCACCTGATGGACCCTATTCTATATTTAGCTACATATTTCCCTTACTTAAAAAACTGTCAAAAAGTATAAAAGCTGAATGAAAGTGATAGCTGTTAAATTCAGGATAATTGTTAATTCTAGGAATGGAGAAAGGGGAACAAGATCTAGAAAGAAAAAAAGGTCTTCAACTGATTTTGTAATGATTTCTTTTTTTAAGATAAGTAATAAAGTCAAGTGGTTAAGCTCAACACTATTCACTTTGTAAATTCTCTTTTAACCTGTCTGTAATGAAAATGCTTGGGTTCTGGAGTTACAGAAATCTAAAACAATATCTGACTCCGTATTATGCCGCTGCAATTTTAGGCAAGTTCTTAATCTCTTTGTGTCTCAATTTGCCTATATATAAAAATGAAAATATTATTTCTTTACCTCACAGGCTTGTTGAGAATAAATTAGGTAACATAAATAAAATGCCTGGCATATAACAAGCACTTTAATAACAAGTTTGCTCTTCTGCTGTCTCTTCCAACCCGTTCTATAGTAAATAAAAGGATATCTGTCAAATTTTGGAACCCTAAGTTGAAAGCTGAAATGACTTTAAGACCTGTAAAAGAAAAAGTTTCATTTTATTTACTTAAAGAGGAATTTTTCTAACCCTTGATTATGTAAGAAAACAATAAATACATAAACTTACTTGAAGCATTTGGTCAAAATCTTGTTTTTCCAAATATGATCTTGTAACAACTCGTCCATCAAAATCTACTTCAGCCTTAAATCTTACTTTACCTAATCCCAGATCTGTGGCTTTAACATCATGAATTGCCCTGAAATCAATAAAAAAAATTCATAAATTTATATATGTATGCATACATCTTAATGGTACAAAGTCTAGAATTTTTGTACATCTTCGGCAGTGATCAAAGTGAATTAAGATGCCTTTCAGGGTTCATCATTAAATGCCACCTACCATTTTCCAAATGTCCATTTAGCTCTTTTGCACAATGCTACATACAAATACAAATGTAGTAAATATAATTTTATTATTGTTTTTATATATAGATATATAATTTCATGATTATTTGTGTGTATATATAAATCGTAAAGTTTGTGGTTTATGAAAAATCAACTCTAAATTGGTATTCGACAATGTAGTTTTTATCTCATAATCATTTTTTCCTGTTTCCAAAGTCTTTGAAAGACTTCATATAATTCTGTGACATACTCTATTAGAAGATAATAAGAATTACCTAAAAGGATTGATGTGGGAAATACTGAGCCAACATTTATAATATGCTTAATGTAGTACCGACTATATAACAGGCATTTAATGAATGGCTTTGATCAAGTAGGTAAGACTGCACTTTTACAGATGATAAAATGGCCTCACAGGGACATAAGAGACTTGCCCAAGGGGTTTCAGGTACTTGATAGCAGAGCCAGGATTTACCCATACCTAAACTCAACGATTGCTTCAATATACCCCTACGCCTCAAATGCTCAAGTATAATGGCTTTTCATCCCTTCTGCCTGATTCAAGTTTGTCAAGCATCCCTAGACAACTTCTGAGAAATTCTTTCTTTCCAAGGTAATTACTATAATATTTTTTCTTTATAGACCATGTACAAAAACATACACTGTAAATTCTGGGGATACCACAGAAAACAAATGGGGAAATAAATCTAAAAAAAACTCCAAGTATTCCTAAAATATTTGACACTGTTTTTGAGTGATCCTGAAGTTACTACAGTCTAAAGTTCATTACCCATACAAAGATATATATTTATCAAATATCTAGGGTAAAGGAAGAACTAATTATTTAATATTTATAAAGTTATAGGTGCCCAATTTGAAAAAAACAAAACAAAACCTGTTGGGATTGGCAAAAGACTACATAATTTATTCACATAAAAATAGTAACATTAAAAATGTTATCTACTTGAGTCCTTTCAAAATATTTAAACTTTTCATTTTTGACTAAAATTTAAATAGAGCAAATGAAAATATTTTGTAAAATTTCCTTACATTTTCATACTCAGTTGCAGATACAAATTATGATATGCAACTTCTATAATGGTTTCTATGATCCTGTCTCCTAAACTATATAATCTCTTGGAATGTATATGAGACCATGACTTACTCCTAGCCTACAGTATGTGGAAAATGTGAGATGTCATTTCCAAATTAGATCTGAGACTCAATCTACTGCTTTTTCAGGTTTCATGCTTCAATTAAGCAGGATATAGTGCTGAAGAGGCCCATGTCACCAGAAACCATATCCTGTCAATAACTGCATAAAATTTGAAGCAGATTCTTCCCCAAGAAATGACAATACACTTTGATTACACCTGATTACAGCCTGTGAAAAAACCTGAACTAATGATCCCAGGTAAATCATGGCTAGATTTATGGTCTGTGAAACTATGAGATAATAAATGTTTTCAGTAATTAAATTTTGGGGTAATTTGTCACAGAGCAGTAAATAACTAATGCACTGTTTAAAAAACTTTGTGACCTTCTGGTTTACTAACATTTCCCCCCCCCCTTGCATTTGAATCTATAGATCTTCACTCTTCCAGAAAATTTGCCTATCATTCTTTCCCTCTGCAGCACTCTTTTTAGAGTTTAATTATAAGTGATGTAGGCAAAATTATAAACACATATGTATCTAACAACAGGCACCAAAATATACCAAGCAAAACTGATGTAAACAAAAGCAAGAATAACAATTCAACAATAATAGCTGGAGATTAATATATGACTTTCAGTAATGAACAGAACAACTACACAAGAAAATCTACAAGGAAATAGAAGACTTGAACACTATAAACCAGCTACACCCACCAGACATCTGCACGACCCTCCCCATAGTAACAACAGAATATACACTCTTAAGTGTGCATGGAACATTCTCCAAGATAGAGAATATGCAAGGCTGTAAAACAAACCTTCGTAAATTTAAAAGAACTGAAATAACACAAATGCTCTCCAAGCCACAATGGATGAAATAAAATATAGACATATGGGAAAGCTCACAAATATCTGTGGAAATTAAACATACTCCTAAATAACCAATAACCAAAAGTGAAATCGAAAAATGCTTTGAAATGAATGAAAATGAAGACCAATCCTATACCAAAATTTATAGAATCCAGCAAAGGTGTGCTTAGAAGAAAACTTAAAACTGTAAAAGTCTATATTAAAACAAAAGATTTCAAATTAAAAACTTAGGCTATCAAATTAAGGTACTGGGGAAAGGACATACAAAACCAAGGAAGGAAATAATATACATTGGGGTAAAAATTTATAAAAAAGAGACTATAAAAACAAAAGATCAATAAAATTGAAAAGCCTTCAGCTAGAATGACCAAGAAAATAAAATACTCAAATTACTAGACTCAGTAATGAAAGAGATATTACTACCAACCCTAAAGAAATACAAAGAAAAACTGAGTAACTGTTAACAAATCAGGTAATTTAAAAGTAAAGGGACAAATTCCTAGAAAGACTAAATCTACCAAAGCTCACTTAACAACAGACAATCTAAAAGATCTATATTAAGTAACAAGACAATCGAAAAACGACCTACATAGAAAAGCCCATGCCCAGATGAGATCACTGCAGACTTCCACCAAATGTTTAAAGAAGAAAATAATACTAAGCTCTTTTTAAAAAACAGAAGAGGAGGGAACATTTCCCAACTCATTCTGTAAGGTCAGTCAATATTTTGATACCAAAATCAGACAACATCACAAAGAAAGGATCTTAATATGAATTATCTCACATTAAATTACTATACTAATTCTAAAACTAATTCTAACAATACTCAACCTTTAATCTTGATACATAACTACTTTTCAAGATTAAACACCTATTTCCAAGAATATAAATCTAGTCCACTGATTCAGGTATAAGTCATTCTTCAAAGATTATCTTAAATATTTAAATATTTGAATACACTATTTTATCATTTACTAAGATAACATAGGTTTACAACATAATGTATAATTCAGAAAAACAGGATCTCACCTCTGCAGATGTATGTTACCACAAAAAGACATTATTTTAAAATTTAATATATATTATGTGGCTATTAGAAAATTGGGATCTTAAAGGTTTGTCCCTTCCATTTTGCTCTGAAACCAGAGTGCTGCAGAATTTCACTCTAAAAAACTATTAAAACTCTTTTATCTCTCCTTACTATTGCCTAAGTCCTCAGTTTTTTATTCTTATATCATTTAAATAGTATATATAAAGAAAACATTTTAAAATAAGAAGCTTATTTTCAAAAGAAATATGAATTATATTTAATATGGTAAGCACTTCCTCAAGAATAAAAATCTTAAATTTAATACATTCAATTTGCAATTACAATATAAATATAAAGCAGATGTAAATAAGAAACTTCCACATATGAATTCTACATTAAAAAGGCAACTATTTTGCAAACATCTGTCCCCATAACATTATCTAACTGTACTTTATTCTAAAATTTCAAGTTTGCAAAATTTAAAAGGAAACTTAGGGGGGATTCCTAAATTCATTTTCTTTCTTGTGAAGTTACAATCTTGAAAAGAGATTAAAAACTTCTGAAGGCTAGGGATCCAAAGCCTCTTTTAAAAATATTTACAACCAAACATCACCATTATAAACTGACCTTACTGATGGGTCGTTCTCCAGAAGTTCAGTAAGCCGCTGTACTTGTTCTGGCTGGATGGATCGCCCTAAGAGTGCTTCTGTATTAGTATAGATGAGGAATGCTGAGACCACACCTAACAAGGTGCCTACACCCAAAGAACCTAGACTGTCATACAGTGGATTGCCTAAATAAAGCACATAATTAAGTAGTCAGTAAATTAACATTTTCTATTATTTTATGAATTTTAGTAAGCAGAGAACCAGAATTAGCAAATCAAGGAACTTAAAATAACTTGACTCCTTTAGTAACTTTTTTCTAATAATTTTATTATACCACAAAAAAGGTTCTTGCTTCTTATTACACAGAAGTATTAGTGGTCTAATATTTTAAGATCTGTTTTAGAGTATTTTCAGATTAGACACTAGGTGTGTGCATACACTTCTTTTATATTTAAGAAGCATTTTTCCCATCCCAAATTGACAAAATAATTGTGAGATTAAAAGTTGAAATACCCATTTTGGAGGGTAAGGGGTCTTATTTTTACCGAAGTTATGTGAGAGAATGAAGCTATATACAGTTAGGCTATTTTAGATACAAAGAAGTTAATTCACTGCAAGCTATGCATACAAAGCAGTGGTTCTCAAAGTATAGTCTCTTGGGGTCTCCCTAGTGGCAGAGGGGTTAAAGTCTCTGCACTTTCAAGCTGTTACCAGACATTGTGGCATGAGTTCAATCTCCAGCTAAAACACATGGCCCAGTAGACCTCCTACCCACTGCTCCCCTTAGCAGTGCATTTCAGCAGATCTGTCTGTTCTGCACCCCCACCCCCGTAGCTCTGGTGAATATCTGAAACCCCCGCCCCACTTCTGGCTCATCCCCCAGTTTTTGTATACACAAATAAATAAAAATAAATCTAAAAAAAAAGTGCAGTATCTTTAGTAGTGGAACCACTATCATTTGACAACTTGGTGAAAATACAAATCTCAGATCTCTCCAGAGACTTTTTAAAAAATATATTTATGCATACAAGAACTGGGGTATAGGTCAGAGGTGCAGAGGAGGGAGGTGAGAGGATTCAGCAGAGACAGAGACTGAACACAGGCAGATCTACTGAAATACACTGAGGAAGGGAGCAGCTGGTGGGTCAAGAGAAGTCTGTCACACCAAGTAGGTAAGCTTCTTGGCTAGAAATCGAACTCATGCTGCAGTGGTTGCAGATAGCTTCATTGTGTTTTAACCCAATGGTGCCACCAGGGAAGGCCTCACCTGAGACTTTCTAAATTAGAAACTGGAAGTATCATCCAGCATTCTGTATCTGTCTAAGTCTTCCAGGTGATTCTGATTCTAAAGTTCTCCTTAGTTTGTTGGGGTTCAATTCTCTCCCAGAATTGGTGAAAACTGATTTACTATGTATGGATGTATAATTTAACTTTTTATCAGATATTAATAATTATTCTTTAAATCTTTATAATTTTACTTTTTTTATGTTTAGAGGTCTTTATTCCAAAGATGAAATGTCAGTATTAAATCTTTTAGTGTTTTATAAAGTTTACTTATTTTATTGAAAAATTGCCTGCATACTAGTTTTACAAAATATTTAATCAAAATGTAACACTAAAAAGTACATTGAAATTATCTGAACTCCTAAAAGTGACCTTCTTGTGGCCCTCCCTGGTGGCGCAGCGGGTTAAAGCACAGCACTGAGAGGCTAAAGGCACCCCCGTCCGCATGAGTTCAATTCCCACCTGCCCCGGAGGTGACCACATGGCGCGGCAGACCTTTCCTGACCCGCCCACTGCTCCCCTCAGCAGTGTACTTCCTCGATCTGCCTGTTCTGCTCCCTACTCTGTCTCTGGTGAAGCCTCTCGCTGCCTCTGAGCCTCTGGCCTGTACCCCAGGTTCTGTATGCACAAATAAATAAATCTTAAAAAAAAAAAGTGACCCTCTTGTAAAATATAATCCACAAATAGGTTTTTAATTATAGAGGTAAAAAAAATTAAGTATCGCTCTTTAGAATACAAAATATATTTAAAAAAAAATAAAAGTATATAAGCAGTATTATAGAACTCACAGGAATACTGGCTCAAAGTACTTCAATTCTTGTCATATTTTTTTTTAAGATTTATTTATTTATGCATATAGAACTGGGGTACAGACCAGAGGTACAGGGGCGGTGAGAGGATTCAAGGGAGACAGAGTGGGGAGCAGAGCAGGCAGATGGGCGAAGTACACTGCTGAGGTGAGCAGCAGGCGGGCCAGGAGAGGTCTGTTGCGCCATGTGGTCACCTCCGGGGCGGGGATCGAATTCATGTGGCTTTAGCTTCTTAGTGCTGTGCCTTAACCCGCTGTACCACCAGGGAGGGCCATGTTATTTAATGTTAATAAAATTTAATTCAGGGGGACTCCCTGGTGGCCTAGAGGTTAAGTCTGAGCACTACCATCACAAAGGCCCTCCACAGTGGCCTGGGTTTGATTCCCAGCAAGGTAGCTGACCCATATGGTACAGCAGAACTCTCCTGTTTACCTGATGCTTCCCCTTGGCAGTGTATTGCAGTAGCTTTGCCTGTTCTGCTCCCCAATCTGTCTCTGGTAAATTCTTTTATTCCCCACACCTCTGGCCTACACCCCAATTCTTCAATGCAAAAATAAAATCTTTTTTAAAATGCAATTCATATAAAATATTTAAATTTAAAACTTTTTACAAGCTTTATTTGCTTTGTATTATAATGTAAAAGAAAATAACCTCTTAAAAGCTGGCTTAGTCATTAAATCATATTTTCCCTAACACTAAAATTTTGCTAAATACTAATTTATGTCCAAAAAATGTCTCAAACTGTTAAGGTTAACCAGAAAAATAACTAAAACTTCTAGAAATATTTTGGGTCAGAGGGAGCATCAGAGAATGCTGGTTTACACTTAAAATGTACATTCAAAAAGAGAAAGATCTATTCAGGATTCAGACTATTTTAAGAAATACTGCAGAATGGTTGACGCTCATCACCTAAAATTATTTTAAATATGCAAGGACAAATGGGTATAATGGAAGCTGTTGCATTCTAAGAGAATTCCAACTTTAGAAACGAATCTTTTCATATTAAGTCTTTCTTTTGTTTTAGAAAAAAAATATTTTCCTTTATTTTCATTCACATTGTATTGGAGTTCAAAGCACTAAAGAAGCTATCAAAACTGGATGGAACCAACTTGAAAGTCAAGAAAATAAGTAATAGTAGCTATTATTAACACAAATTGTGGAAATGGAATAACAGTTATATATTTATTTAGGACTTTAAGTTTGTTAAAAATCTCTCATTTTAATAAAGTATTTTAGTAAATTGTGAAATAAATATCAATTCTTTCATTGGTAAAGAATTAATAAATAATTTAATTCTTTAAAAGCTCAAAGTGGTCACATTATTTATTAAGACCAAGAAAGGGTAATAGCATTACAAAAAAGCACTTTATTCTGTATTTATGGTAGAAATTGCTAAATGACCAATTATTTTATATAAATGATATGAAATTAGCAATTAACAATACCAGTTTAATGTTATCCACTTAAGAAATTTTACCTGTCAAAGATGTAAGGCCCATACAAGTGGCTGCTATTGTCACTCCCAAGACTGCTGCAGTATCCTCCAATAATATAACATTTGTACTAGGATCACGACTTTCTATTACTTGATCATTGGGGAAGAGAAAAAATAAATTTGTTTAAGTCTTACTTTGACATCATCAGGTAACATATATATCTATTTTAAATTATAATGTAAATGAAGATAAAAATGCATAAAACCCTGATTTGTAAAGTCCTGTTCAATGAAATAAATTTCTTTGCTTCAATTTAACATTTGGTACTTAAAGTCAAATTACTGTCTCAAGTTATATAAACAAACAAATAGGTAGTTCACCTAAGCTAAGTCCAAGTATATAGTAGTCTTGTTCAAATTATATTTCTCTTTATAAACGAGCTGATGTTTAAGAGTCACAGAGGGAAGATAGTGAAATATATTTTGAACACATGTATAAGGAACAAAGGAAAAGTACTAGGTAATTTTAAGCAAATAAAGGAAATTAAATACACCTGGTGTCTAAATTACATACCATACTTGTAAAATGACATTCCTTTAGCTCGAGCACTCCTACGAAGTTCATTTAAAGCAACAAGAAGAGTTGCTGAAAGAAAAGCATTCATATCAGCAAAAAAAGAACTTCATGCCTCCAAACTTTAAAGATGGTATCTCAAAGGGCACATTAAAAAAAAATTTTTTAAGGTGATGGCACACTTCTATAATTTTACTTAAATTTTTGATTCATTTACATTTTTAATTAATAAAACACCTTTTTCTATCCTTGGAATTTATGTAAAATCAAACAATTATTGATGAATATGGGCAGGAAATTCTGCATTTTCTTTCCTCAAATTTTAATTTATATTTTCTCTATTATGCTGCATTTTTTTCTCCCATCCTGTATTTTTTTTATTACGGTCCAACAAATTGACATCACATACTTCGGATGATTTTTTTAAAAATGTATAACAGTTTATTTTTACATCATCTTGTGCCTCTTTCCATCTGAGTTGTAATCCCCATGGGCTTCCCATGACCAAATCACCGGTGTGAAAAGGCACATTTTAATGCCAAAGTTATCAGTAAAGAAAATTCTGCATGAATTAGTCACCCACACTCCAATTAATCATCAAAATGAATATTCTAAACCATGGTAACTTAAATATAATTACCACAACACCTTTAACTTATTAGGCAGCTATTACATGGCACAGAGTACACTAAGAACGATTACTTTGATGCTTTTGAACCTCTTAAGACAAGTGTATTATCACCACTTTACAAACTATAAAAGATGGAGAGTACCAAACATAAAGTGACAGTATTTCTGAAGTAAACACACTAAGAGTATAACAGAAAATTAGGCAGTTTCATACCTACTAGTAATACTTTTATAATTAAAACTTTCAAAAGTTTTGAAATGAAAGAGATCCTTCTCTGATTAACATTATGAAATCTAATTTTTAAAAACTCATTATATAGTTACACTGTTTTTAAACTCATTTCCAATATTCTAAGTAATAAGACATATGATGAAAGCAAAACAAAATAAAAAAATGGCTTTTCCCTTGCCTCAACCACAAGGACAAAGATAAAAAAAGCTTAGATTTCTCTTCTTACTATTTTCTTTAATCAGTAGACTTTAATAATATATATAAAATAGTGAACTGCTAAATATTACTAAATGAAGTATGCTGAAGCAAAATATTGAGAATAAATACTATGATAGTACATACCTCCTTCAGATACCAATGATCCTGCTAAAATACAATATGCCTAGAAAATATTAGAATGAAATATAAATTAATATTTCATTACAGAATCACAACTGTTCCTACATAAAGTTTATAATGCTTAAAAAAAACATAAATTTCAATCCAATCTAAATAAGGATCTTGATATGGATCTCACAGATATAGTTGAGATATGACAACTTAGAAGAGTAGACAACTTAAAAATTTGAAGGCCATCTTCAGAAGAGTAGACAACTTAAAAATTTGAAGGCCATCTTCTTTTCAAAAACAATAAATGTAAACAGTGCAGAGCATTACGTTATAACCTAAGCTAAGCTCGTAAGATCCACATCCATATCCAACTAACTTCTAGATTTGTTTGGCTGCCCATTACCAAGAGAATCTTTTCTGAATTCTGACTCAAAGAGGTAAGTATTTATGAAAAGTTAACAATTTTTGTTTTGAAACCACCACTTTTCCAACAGTCCCAAGATACTCTCCAATTAAAGATATCAATAAAGAGAAACACAAATTCTTTATAAATTTTAAATTAAATTCAAAGCAAATGCTTATAGGATTTTCAACATTATCCTCCTGTTAAGACTTCTCTGAATTGGAGGCTTCGAAATTTTGAACCTACTTCAACACTCACATTCTACTAAAAAAACTGATTTCCCAATACTATATGACCTACTTGAGTGCACAGATTAAAAACTAAAATCCAGGCTTTCCGGTCTCAATTTTAAACTCTTATCACTGCATTTTGTGGCCAGTGTGAAAAACAGTTAAACTCCCAGCAATTCTTTTTAATCCTTCTTTCTCCTTCTAGAAATGATTTAAGGTACATTTATTACCTAATAAAGGGAGACAGCATATATCAGCCAAATACTCCAAAATAATACCCAATAAACATAAATTGGTCTATGGCATATTGAATATATTATTTATCAAGGAAGTCATAATCTGGTGGAAACTTTAGTTACTAAAAAATACAAGAGCGGGCCCTCCCTGGTGGCGCAGCGGGTTAAAGCACTGCACTGAGAAGCTAAAGCCACTTCCGCATGAGTTCGATTCCCGCCTGCCCCGGAGGAGACCACATGGCGTGGCAGACCTCTCCTGACCCGCCCACTGCTCCCCTCAGCAGTGTACTTCGTTGATCTGCCTGTTCTGCTCCCCACTCTGTCTCTGGTGAAGTCTCTCACTGCCCCTGAGTCTCTGGCCTGTACCCCAGTTCTGTATGTACAAATAAATAAATCTTAAAAAAAAAAAAAATACAAGAGCACCTGGTGGTGCAACGGGTTAAAGCACTGCACTATGAAGCTCTCTGAAACCACTGCAGCATGAGTTTGATCCCCCGCCAGGGTGCTGACCCACATGGCGTGGCAGATTTCTCCTGACCCACCCACTGCTCCCCTCAACAATGTATTTCAGTAGATCTGCCTGTTCTGCTCCCCACTCTGTCTCTGGTGAATCCTCTCACCCACTGCAGCTCTGATCTATACCCTAAGCTCTGTAAGCATAAATAAAATTTTTTTAAAGATTTATTTATTATTTATGCAGGATTGAGTCTTGTTCAACATCAGTGAATGTTATGGATTCAGGGGTCTTGTAAAGTCCTAAAAAAATACAACTATAGATACATAATCTCTATGAGACATCCTAACACAGTCAAGACTATCTTGTTAGTAGAGTCCTTCACGTCAATATGGCAAAGGCATTCTACTTACTTAATCATGATTTCATATTATTTTTTAACTGAGAGAAGAAAAGGAAGATTACCCATAGAAGAGATTCTATTGGCTGAGGATTAAGCAATCCCATGATTCCGTGGTACCAAGATAATCCTGCACCCATCATGAAAATACCAACTCCACTAATTAGTGAAGCAATGTAACGCATATTTGAAAATCCATACCTGAAAAAAAAATTGTTTAAAAGCAATACAAACAATTTCTTAAGATAGATTTAATTGGACAATGAAAAGAAAATTTTAAAACTACAATTATCAAGAGATCATGATTTTATATTTAAGTAAAATGTAAGTGCCAATTAAAATGTAATCAAAGTATTGTTAAGTGGAAAAACTTAAAACAAGATTTTTGAAAATAAAAATGGAGTGCATATAATTTAAATCAGTTATTTTCTAATCCCTTTATTTATCATTATTTTTTATTATTATTATAGTTTATTTTTACATCATTTTGTTCCTTTTTCCATCTTAGTTGTAATCCCCATAATCCCTTTTCTATAATCCCTTTTTCATTTTGATTTAGTACAGCTTATTCATTATTATGTAGCAAAGTGATGGTAAATTAATCTCTTTAAAAATACATTCAGATGTTCAAGAAACAGGATTAAAATTTTTCTTATACTGTACCTTTTAGTTGAATATTTTTATATTCTTATACAGTCAATGATTTTTATTACCTATGGTTTCATATTGAATTATTATTACTGGTTCAGTCACAGCAACTGACTACTAGTATTTAATTTGGACTTTCATTTTCTGGGTGTTTTTATGATAAATGCTTTTTACATTTCAATTATTTTTCAAGCATCTTTGTTCAATATGTGAATTATTTTCTATTATTATATGTACCAAGAAGATACTATTATGGAGCTCAGAAATAAAACATGCTATAAGAAGCAAAGAGTCACTCAAAAATATTTCCTAGAAAATTTACTTCCAAACCCAAACTCTATGACACCCTCTCAGCAGAGAAAAATTTAAAAAAGAATTCTTAAGACTGATTTTTAAATTATTTTTGCAAACATAAGATCCTGCAATAGAGACTTCGCAATTTACATATAACATTCTACTAGTTGCTAATAACATTATCTGTAATAGTGGACAAATATAAATATTTTTATAACTATAGAAAATTCTATTGGACAATATTAAAATAGATTGAAAATACTTTAAGAATAAAATGTCACAAGCTAAAATTAAAAAATTTTTATCCTGCTTTTAAACTTCTCCCATATAAAACTGGTCAAGAAAATTAGTTTTCCCTTGCGATCTACTATTAAAACCTGTTTTAAAATTTTTGCATGTGGTGCTTAGTGAAACAAGCCAGAAAGAAAAGGAAAAATAGTGGATGGTTTCACTCATAGCAGGAGTATAACGGACCAGGTGAGAAAACAATAATAATGAACAGCTATATACCAGAGACTTTTTATGGGCGTAGGGTGGGAGATGGGATCAAAAACAGAGGGGGGAGGGAAATGCACAGGACTATGGTGATGGCACATGGTGATTTGGTGATGGGAAGCCCACAGGGATTACAACTGAGATGGAAAAATGCACAAAATGATGTAAAAAAAATAAACTATTATATAATTTAAAAAATAATAATAAGGTAACTTTAAAAATAGGTGTAATAATTATTTTCCTGGGAATAAAACACAAATGTTTACATAAAACAAAAAAAAATCTTTTTTGTATGTGGAATTCAAAAGTTTTAGCTGGCTATGTTAATAGAAGCAACAGAAAAAAAAATCTCTATATTAACTGATATGATCCAAAATAATTAACAAGCATAATTTTGAAACACTAACAATATTATTTCAAATCATTGTAAGAAGATTAAAATAACTAAGCATGGCTTTAACTTCAAAATTTTATATGACTGATATATCAGTCTAAATGCAGAGTATGTTTCCTATAACAAAAAACAGAGCTCTGAGTTAAACATATGTGCTTTGTTATAATTACCAAAAACAAATAAAGCAAGGTCTTTATACTTTATTACAAAACATAACAAATTCCATTTTCAAATTATATTTTGAATTTGACATAGCAGTGAGTTTTTGCATTTTAGATGTTACAGCGGAAGAAATGAACAACTCTTTTAACACAAAACTGCAAGTATGTATATATGAACTGCAGATTTCTAAAATTCAGCTGCTTCTATATCAATGACTAATTGCCAAAACAAAATCCTTACGGATGAGTAGGATCTGGTGTTTGAACAGACTTGCTGATGCCCACTGCTAGTAAACCCTAAAGAGAACAAAAAGATGAAAGAAATCATTAGCAAGACAGGGAGTATAATATAGTGAAGCTAGACTGGAAAATATAATCTGACAATGACAAACCATAAGCATATACATATACTATACCTTAACAATTCTTCTTTCTGGATTTACTTTAGAGAAACAAATATTAGCCCAAAGAGGTACAAAACACCATTCCTTATGCAGAAGAAAAAAGCAATCTAAAAACCTAACTATGAAGAAAGGCAAGACAAATAATGGGTAATCAAACCACTAACAACTTTTACAACAGTTTAAAAGAATGCAATTAAGATTAAGTCTCTCTCTACTAACATAGCAGAAGTTCCTAGTTATCATTAGGTGGAAGGAGAAAGCAAAAGCTCCCAGTTACCATCTAATAAAGAACACAGGAAAGACCTAGCCATTCCAACAGGTTCATTATGATTTTGATTTTAATTTCCTTACTTAATAATGCCTATTACTTTCTCATGTACCTGTAAGGCCATCCATGTGTCTCCTTCATATGTCTACTCAGATGTTCTGCCCATTTCTAAATTAAATTGTTCGGAATTTTTTGCTATCCAGTTGTATGATTTCTTCACAATTACATCTTTTTAAAAGGTCTCGAAAAATATCAGTTTCAAAGGGACATGAGAAATACAATTCCCATCTACTGAATAAGACCAAGTTGAAATATTTTCATCAAAACCTTTCTGACATTCTAATCAAAACACATTTTAACACAGACTGCTCAAAGCACGTGGTATCGCATGATCTCAGGTTTGATTTATTGCTATTATTTCAATTTCTAATAAAAATTATTTTTCTAGTTACAAAACTAATATATGCTCATTATAAAGAAATTCAAAGAGTATAAGAGAGGGGACATTGTAAGAATCTGGGGCATGTTTGAGACTACCTTACTAGCACCTATGTACAGTTTTTTTTTTTTAATTTATTTATTTATACAGAAATGGGGCATAGGTCAGAGATGTGGAGGGTGAGAGAATTCACCAGGGACAGAGTGGGGAGCAGAACAGGCAGATCGATGAAGTACAATGCTGAGGGCAGCAGCGGGCGGGTCAGGAGAGGTCTGCCTCGCCATGTGGATCTCCTCCGGGGAAGGCGGGGATCGAACTCATGCGGAAGTGGCTTAAGTTTCTTAGTGCTATGCTTTAACCGGCTGCGCCACCAGGGAGGGCCCTATGTACAGTTTTTAATGTTGCTTTTGTGAATACGTCCACATCACATTTCAGAGCAAGATATGTATGTGCCTAAAAATATGACCATAATAGCGTTTCCCTGGAAGCACAAAAAATTAAAACTGCACTATGAGGCTATATGCAGCCACTACAGCATGAATTCAATCCTGGACCAGCGAAGTGACGACATGGCACCTCAGACCTCTCCTATCTTGCCTGCTACTCACCTCAGCAATGTATTTCAGTCCAGCTGCCTGTCTTGCTCTCTACACTGTCTCTGGTGAATCCTCCTACCCTCTGCACCTCTGGCCAGTACCCTAGTTCTTATATGCATTAAAAAAAAATCTTTAAGAGCCCTCCTTCGTGGCGCAGCAGGTTAAAGCATTGCACTAAGAAGCTAAAGCCACTCTGCATGACTTCAATCCCTGCCTGCCCGGGAGGTAATCCACATGGCCTGGCAGACCTCTCCTGACCCGCCTGCTGCTCCCCCCTCAGCAGTGTACTTCATCCATCTCCCTGCTCTGAGTGTCATGAATCCTTTCACCATCCCTGCACCTCTGGCCTGTACCCTAGTTCTGTATGCATAAATAAATAAATCTTTTTTAAAAATCTAATAAAACATTTCAATAAACCAAACTCATCCTTTGCTCAGTTTCAACAGGTGCAAATAAATAATCACATCTATTTTATATAAGCCAAACCTATTCTACTCTTCATGTATCATCCCATTTCATCTTTAAATATTTAAATTTTATAAATCCTTGTAAAAAAACTAAAGTGTTTAGAAAATTGCTGCCATAATTTAAAAAAATACTATTTATTATTAAATATCTATTCAGTAATCACATTTCTATATATTTAAATACTAAAGTAGCATTCATACAATAAAATGTACAAATCCTGAATGTACTTCTGAGTTTTGACAAATTCATAGCCTTGTAACACATATTCTTAAGACACAGAAACTTTCTATCACATCAAAAAGCTCTCCTGTGTCTCCCTCACATCAGACAAAATATTTTTGAATATTTTAAACAAAGATTATAGATCTATTTTAAAACTTCATATAAATGAAATAACATAATAGGTATTCTTATTTGTTTACCATTTATTTAGCAAATTGTTGGAGATGCCTATATGCTACCTATATATTTTGGGGGGCTAAATACTATTCTATTGCATTAGCATACCAGAAACATATCTACTCCACTGCTGGTGGACATTTAAGTTGATTCCAGTTTCTTGTCCATTATAAAGTGCTAGAAATACTCCATAAGTTTTGTGAAAATTCCCATTTCTCTTGGAGAGCTGATTCATACAACAGATTTAGGTTTACAAGACACTGACAAGTGTTTTCAAGAATAATGGTATAAGTTTATGATCCATCCACAATGTCTAATAAGTCTCGCTTTTCCATGTCTTCATCAACATTTGGTTGTCAAGAGTTTTTAACTATAGTCATAATAATGGATATACAGAAATGTCTTACTGAGGTTTTAATATACACTTCCTGATGACTGGTGATGTTAAGTACTTTTACAAGTGTCCAGTCAAGTATCTTACTTGTGAAGTACCTACTCAAATATTTAGTCTTTTAAAAAATCTGAGTTGTCTTTTCAGTACTGAAACATTCAATTTTGTTATCCTGGATACCAGTCCTCTGTCAGATTATATACTTTGTGAATATTTTTTCCCAATTAATTTTCTTGAGTATTGTTAAATTAGTAAAAGTTTTAATTTTGATGCAGTTTAATTTGTAAATATTTTCCTTACATGATTTGGTTTTTGAATCATATTTTAAGACATTTCTTCCTATCCAAAGGTCTAGAAATTGTTCTCCTTGGTTTATTTCTACTGTTTCTGAATTTTTTAGCTTCAGCTGGGCCTACTATCCACCTCAAATATGTATTTGATATAAGGTAATGGCCATAAGTCCTTTGTATTTTTCTGTATGTGTGTTAGATATAGTAGTTATTAAATATTTACTGAATATAATATCAAATGTTTACTTACTTTCCTAATCTTTACAGTGTTTAATTCATTTGAAAATGTGTTAGAAGAATTTGCATGTTTAATTTTTAAGATTGTTCTTTCCACTCTTAATGTATCAATATCTTTAAGTTTACTGTAAGTATAAATAATGAAAAGGCATCTCTTTAGTACACCACATTCCTTAAAATGTGAAATGATACATAAGTGGATTTTTTTTTTGTTCTTAAAAATGGCTTAGGGTACTTTCTAGTATTTTATATTTATATCAAAGATCATTTATGAAGATATTTTAATTTTATAAAAATGTTTCTCCACTGAAAATTTAAGGCAAGAAATTTAAAATGCCAATATAATAAAGGAATCATGTTTAATATATCAATCACATGACTACTTTATATCTTTATCCAAAAAATTGATCCGTACAGTCATAACAACTCATATTTTTATAGTCATAAGATACCATCTTCTTATCTAACATCCCCTTTACAAAAGCCTCTACCAAAATACTTAATTTTATACTCATATTTTTATAGTCATAAGATACCATCTTCTTATCTAACATCCCCTTTACAAAAGCCTCTACCAAAATACTTAATTATATATTTATATTTTAATTTTTTTTAAGATTTATGTATTTATGTATTTATTCATACAGAACTGCGATACAAGCCAGAGGTACAGGGGTGGTGAG